CGGCGACGGCGACGGCGACGGCGACGGCAACGGCAACGGCAACGGTGACGGCGATGGCGACAGCGATGACCACGACGCTAACGGCAATGACGATGTCACATCGGAGCCACAGAGGCTCGCAATAAAGATTAAGCTTTGTCAGGAATGCAGCACCCGTCATTTGCAAGACGCTTGTCCTTTAATAATATCGCTGCACGCGATAGCCGATGCGATTTCCTATGAGGAATGGCTGAGCAAGCATAATGAGAATGTAGAGATTATGAAAGTCATCAAGTCGGAGAACCCAATGTCACAGGGTTACGACAGATTAATGTACGATAGCGTGGAATCAGACGATGAATCGACTTCTAACGAAGTATGCAAAACCAAATCGAAAGTACCGAGGGAAGAGATGCAGCTGGTAGTGGATATGGATCGACCCTTGTATGCGAGAGATTCTCTACCGGATTGTCTCGAATTAAAGATGACTAATGCCGATCACGGTCTCGGCGTTTACACCAAGGAGCCATTACCCATATATGCCAAATTTGGTCCACTTATCGGTGTATCGGTTAGAGAAATGGACATCCCGGATGATTTCTCTATGCGCCACATTTGGGAGGTATTGTTATATCGTTTCTATTTAGTTTACTAATCTTGCTAATCATGTGAATTTTGACGTTTTAGTACATTCGTATTGCAAAAAGTAATTTTTAAAAAAGATAAGGAATGAAACGTTATTTTTCTTCTTTCAGATAGATAATAATGGGAAGAGTACATATATCAGTACTACGGATCCAGTAAAAAGCAATTGGATTCGATACATTCGACCAGCAGAGACAAAGGAGAAGAGGAACATTGCAGTAATCATTAAGCGTGGTCAACTGTATTTCGTTACAACCCGGAATATCATATCAGGGGTAGAACTTACATATTGGGTAGAATCACAATCTTCCATGCGAACTAGAAAAAATAAGATTAACAAAACAAGTAAGTGTAACGTATAAAGTATGTATAATCTCTACCAGTCTAACAATCAACATTTTTAAAATGGTTTGCATCGTTTTCATAGATTGTGGAGGTTGCAATCTTATTTTTGCACACTCTATATATTATCGACTGCATTGTTGCATCTTCCATGACATGAATTATAGTTTAACGATAAGAAAATATCATTGCAAGGTATTTTTTACTTGACTTGTTACATTTAAATAAAAGATTTGACGTAGAGAAATGAGTTATTTATCATAATTTTTAGGTTTGCGGTGCCACAGTACTTGGCAAGGATAATATTATGAAACATGCGGCCGAATTGCATGATGGTCGCGGCGCATATCAGTGTCAATATTGCAAAAAGTTTTTTTTGAGACTAAATTACTTGGAAATGCATCGAACTTATGGATGTTCGCAAAATCCGCATCGAGCACGACCGCTATGCGATTATTGCGGCCGCAAATTCTGTCAACCGCAAAAATTGAAAGTACACATCAAGAGGATGCACAGCGGTAATAATGCAATTGATTCGCGTTATGTTTCCATTACTGTCATTATTATGTTTTTACAGATATAGATGAAGTACTTAGAGAATTTCAATGTAAATTATGTTTGAAACTCTTGGGTTCTCGAGCGGCTTTACAACGGCACATGAAAGAGGTTCATCATAAAGACGTTATTGCTGCGGCCACGTGCGATCGATGTGGAAAAATGTTCCAGAACAAGAGCAATTTAAAGATACATATGTTGACTCATAGCGGCGTTAAACCCTTTAGGTACGTATATTTTCTAATTGATTATTCCCTCTAATTGTTTTCTTAATATATATATCATTTACACAGGTTATTGTTCTTTTTCTTATTAGATGCAAAGAGGTCGGCTGTAAATCAGCTTTCACTACAAAACAGTGTTTACAGTTTCATTACAAGAAGGTACATGGCCTTACAGAGGAGATGATGCCCAAAATTGAAAGATCCGTGGCATATACTTTCGATGCATACAGCGGTGGTCTCGTTGAAGACGTGCCTTGTAGAAAGATCATCCGTTCCAATAGAAGAAATTCACAGGTAAATTAATATAACTGGTATAATTAATATAACATTAATATAACTGTGTATAATATTTAGTAAAATCTCTTTGATTCTCATTATATATTTGTATTATACACAGCAGGACAATAGCAATAGTTTACCGTCTTTGGACGACTGCAGCTCGGAAAGCAGCCTGAAAGTCGAAACATCGACACCAGCACCGACACCAGTACTGGCACCAGTATCGGCACTAATATCGGCACCAGCATCGGTATCGGCATCCGATTCGAGAGTAGAGGCAACGGCAATGACATCCACATCGTCATCATCATCACCATCAGCATCGACATCAGCATTAACAGCGGCAACGTCAGCAGCAGCGCCAGTATCAATATCGATATCGGTATCGGTATTGACGTCAGCATCGACATCAGCAGCAGCGATGTCAAATTCTACTCACAATGTCGTTGTAGATTCGTTACAAAATGAGACAAATAGTACGGTGAAATATAAAACGAAACAACAAGAACCTCTAATACCAACATCGACTGCTTCTTTGACCGGTGTTCTTGATGTAACGATGATGGAGAATGATCAGACAGAAGTTGACCTATATGACACATCGAGGACGTTGAGCAAGAGCAACAAAAAATGGTTGGTTGAATTCAATCCACCGCCGCCTACGTCCAATATCGCCGTTCATTTGCCAGCGGTCTCGGCGCCGTCTTCCGATATTTATGATTTTGAAGATGGCAGAAAGGATGATAGCAGCGAGAAAGCGATCTCGCGCACCAACACGGCAACGCCGAATTTGATAGAGAGTAACAAGTTACGATTGAACGTATACCGTAGGACGGAGAGTACAAATGCGAGTTTGCTGGTTGAAGCGGCCCTAGATGCCGCCGAGAGAGATATAGGAGCAGTATCCAGTCCGATTTTAGAGGACAACGATCGGGAAACCAATCTCTATTCCATCTCGAGCCAATTACAATCACCAATACCGCAATCGCGATCACCGAATCATCTAGATCCGTATATCGTACAACAAGAAGAGGAATTAATTTCGCCCGCACCGACGCCAGATGATCGACACACTTCCCCTAGCCACCTACACGTGGACTATCATTTACATCGATCGGTCGATCAACCGGTCTACATCAATGCCTCGCGAACGCACAATATCGAACAATATCTGCATCATGAGGAACTGCCGCGCGTCTCTTCGCCGAATTATATACATATGCAACCAGAAGACTTAGTGTCACCATCAGCCACCCCGAATCGCTACCAAGATGTTCATCATCACCAGGTGCCAACGGATAATTTGTCGAGCGATGAAGGCGATTCAGTGGCGCAAAACCTTAGCCTATCCGTGAAAGAGAAAGCGTTGCAATTGGACTTGTCGACGCCCTACAAGTACGACTCACTCGAACAGGATTTCACTAGAGAAAGATCCAGTTTTGAGCCATTGGTGCTCAATAGTGGTGAACTTCAGGGTCTAGACATGTCTGCCCGAGGTTTTCATCACAGTTTTGGCACCCAAATGCAAAATACCCGTTATCACCATCATCATTTGTACGATATCGGAGAACGACAAAGCGTGGATCTCAGCAGAACCGGCAGTTATTCTATGTCGCCACCTCCACCACCGCCACCACCTTATCCTCACAACAACGTTGTGCGAGTGCTTAGTTTAGATCTCACTCCTGGTGGCAGACACAGTGTCGATTTGAGTCTTTCCAGATCGCATCATTTGCACGGATCCGGCACTCGTGTTATTACCAGCCCGCAATCTACCGGCTCGACTACGACACATGTGGTATCTGATGCCGGCGAAGGTCGAATGTTATCTCCACCTCCTTTATCTGGATATAATCCTAGTTATCCCGTAAGTCCAGCCCCGTATCATCCTCCACGATCTGGATACCATCATTATCCCGGTTATTCTGATCGTCGTTAATGAATGTCATGATAGTTTATACGGTCGACATCATCTCGACAATTTTTATTTTACTTTTCGATTTTTCTAATCGTTTTGTTCTAAATAAATTTACTTTAAAGTTTTTGTTAATTTAAATACAATATTTTATCTCATGATTGTTTTATAACTTGCCGCGTCGCAAGCGAGAAGTATCACTCTTACACGTTGAAAGTTATGAAGAGTAGAACAGTTATACTTTTATTGCTACTCTTTATATTTAAGTCGGGACGATGTAGCGAACATAACAATTTCGATCGTGATTAAAAAATATAGCGAAAAAGGACACGATTTTTTGGTTCAAGAAGATAATGAAGAAGTCATTAATATCATGCGACAGATAGCAAACAATTGAAACACCGTTACTTAACGCGGTACATGGATAAAAGTGTAGACGGTACATTCACGACGTTCAGAACAATGTTATTTTTTTAAAAAAAATCTAGTATGAGGCTTTACGGAAAAAAATCTGTTCCACAATGATCAACTGTGTATCGATAAAAATGAATTAATTTATCCGTAATCATATAACTGTTAAATTATTTATTGTTTATTCTTATCCGATGAACTGTGTAACTGTGTAATTGCGACATATGTGTGATGAGTACATCGTCTATAGAATGATTGTTGAAGAGAGAGGAAAAAAAAAAGAAGAATAGCAGAGTTACGTCGTAATCCAGTGCCACGTCCGTGATAATTAATATTATTAAGAAATTGTTACATTTACCTCCTAGCTTATATTCTTCTATTTCGGACCTATACTCAACCGAGAAATACTCTATTTAACGTGGCTTTGGTGATAACAGTAGCATCCCAGAGTAATATAGGGAAAAATTATACGATTAGAGATTAAGAAATTAAAATTTTTTCACAAAAAAAAAAAGAAAAAGAAATTTCAAAGATGTCCGTGCGTGTTGGCGATATTTTAATAAATAGTGTAACTTCTCTATTTAAACACATTTTCTTATTCACGAATAATAAAAATGTGCGAACAGTATATCATTTGTATAAATGTATAAAATATGCGATTGTGTACTACCTGGGATGCTGCAATATGTATTTGTGAGGTAATCAAGATGCCTAATGCGCGGTAACTATAGATGTATTTCTGCATGGTGATAACAAATGATTATAATATTCGTTTTTATTCTAGTCATTATATATAAATTAGCGAGGCAACTTTAGCTATAAGTTACGAATATTTCAGCGATCAGGAATAGTTGGTCGAAATACATGTATTTTATTGTGAATGCAAATTTGAGTTTATATCAATTTTGTTTGAAACCTTATATTTTTTTGCTGATTATTCTAGTAAGGAAAATTAGTGTGATATCAATCTATTCCATTATTGAAATAGAATGTGACATTACAAGCTTTGTTCTATAAGATAATTCAATGATATTACATTAAGTTCTTAGATATCATTTATGTTATAAAAAAAATAGCATGGTGAGCTATAGCATTTTGTAAAGGAAAGTTTATGTGTGTGCGCGCGCGTGTATATGTGTACACATATGTGCATATATACATATATGTATATACATGCACACATATCACCGTGTTTCATCATGCAAATACACGAGTGTGATTTATAGACTCGTGTTTAACTACGTTAATTTTCATGTCGCTTCCAGTTTCTTGATTATTCTTTCTAGCTATTTAGCCATGAAACCAAAGATCTAAAAATATTGTAACTCTTGTGCCAAATTGAAAGGCGTTCACTGTTATATATTATATTGTATACGCAATTTTTAGCAGAAGTATAATTAAGGAAAGGCGCAATAACATTGCCTCTATCGCCTTGGTTAAATTTTTCATTGATTATTTAACGATATGCATACGCGCGCGGAAAGATACACCATTGTTTGAAGAACATTTTCTTAATTATACTTTTGTATCTTTTTTATACTGCTTCCGCCATTAATGATAGTTACCATTTTATTCTCATTTTAATTGTGTTGATTTTCGATCGGGATATATTTGTTTGCGTCTTCTTTTCCATAATTTATATATTTTATATCTTTTCATAATTTATATATTGTGCATAATATAAAAACAACAAATGAGATACATTTATTAAAATTACACAAACAAAACACACACACCACTTGTGTATATGGCACACACTTGTGTATATGGCAAAAAAAAATTCAAAAGAAATGTTTACGAGTACAAAATGTGGTATAGATTATATTTGTATCGGGTTTACTGACATTAATATTGTAAGTAATAATAATAGAATATGACAATGATTAAATAAAGAAAATGTATCTTCTTTCATTTAAAATTTTATTCTTTTCCGCAGAGGAATAAAAAGGAAAATAAAAAATCATCAAAATTCATTTGCTTCTCTAAATTTTGCCTCATTTCATCTCATCGATTGAAATGATTCTAAAATGAAAAGAATCATTTTCTACTACATAAATATATTTATAGATATTTCGAAAAAAAATGAAAAATCTACTATAAAAAAATCGATCATTTCTTGAGATGTAATCGTGAATTACCACAGAATCGAGATTCTTCCAGAGAAGGGGAATGTATATGTATGATAAATGTATCAATAAATGGAGCTTTTTATGAATTGAGTAAAAAATCAGTGTGCTCTATTTACAATGTAAAGAAACTGGAAAAAGTGGATATTGTACGTCAATAACGTAGCAGTTTTCAATTAATTGAGCTCTTGTCAAATCTATCGGATAGAGGTCAGATTGGTTTAATTTCATCAATTTTTAGCGTCTTCCGGCGATTATAGGAGCAGAATATGCGCCATATGCGGCTGGCAAAGCGGAATAAGCCAGTGGTGCAGCTACGTATGGGGCGGCTATGGCGTGATTGATGGCATGTGCGTTGTAACTCGTGGCATAGGTTCCGACTGTCAGAGCTGCTGGTACCGCCGCCGGAATC